AGTAACGGTGTCCTGTTTCGAACAAGACATGCTGGGTATGTTCAGTTTCGTCGCAGAAAAAAATAGGTTTGAGAAAGTTTGAGAAAGTTTTAGTTTGTTTAATTCGTAATATTCTTCTATACACTCGCCTGTTCCAAATACTAATTTTTATTCGACTAGAAATTCATATCCAGAAATTCGCCCACGTCTGGCAAAGAGTTCGAACGAACCTGACGTAGGGTTGGGTGTATTCGGTCGGCGTAAGTAACAAAAAAACGGCTGACGAAGCCAATGCCATAAGGCGTAAAAGCCAAGGAACAAACGACACAAATTTATTCAGGCATAATCCAGCGTTTCCTCTTTGCGTCTGCTCTATAGAATCGTCTTTCTAGTTCCTAGGTTGCCATTGTTACGGCTCGAGTTTACCTTCTTTATTCCCCCCGATGGGTACTTTGGATGAAGGGTCGCGGAGGCCACTCTGACGCTCCGTCTTAGCTTTCACTCGGACGTGTTTTCTTGCTCCTGTTCTCTTTCGATCATCTTCGATTCAGTTTCGATGGCTCCGTTTCCACTCTTACCTTGTCTTTGTTGACTCGTCGTCCATCCTGCTTATTTGTTTCATTGTTTCTACTGCGTTTGCCTTCGAATGCCGAAATGTTATCTTTCAGTGGCATTATTTACTAAGAGATGGCAATCTGAAGGGGATACACGTGGCTGGAAAATATACGAACGATTCTATCAGATAATAGATCAATTTGTTACAACGTTGGGCAAGATTAGAAAATCGGATCGTTGAGAATATATGAGGTACAATTTCACGGGACGTCAAAGAGTTCTTATCTAGCCGCACGTGTGTTCATATATCACGGGCAGCAGTTTCCATGTTTGCATTTTGCTTTACAAACCGAGCTTAGTAAAATTTGTAGAGGCTACTGCGACCTAGAAATTATTCATTCGCGGGGGTAGTTACTCTGTTTGAAAGATGAAAGATAGTAATGCAGCGGTAAAGTTATATTAGCAGCACTGATGTAGGATCGGTCCGGTGGACACGATGAGAAATGTTCGTGTGTGCCTTCGATCCGCAACCAAAAGCCAATTTAATCGCCGAGGTATAGTCGAATACATTTAATTAACATTTAAAGGATTATATGTACGGAGGTAAAAAATCGTCCAGTCGTATAAATCCGCAACCAGAATTCGGTTTAGTCGTCAGAATAGCTCTATATATAACTCTCAATAAACGTAGTTTACGATTAAATACATATTCCCTGATATTCTGAATATTCTAAATATATTAAAAACGTTTTAATAACGTATGTCCATACATTAAATACCTCCTGTTCAAGTTATTCTATATCTTTCATTAACGAGAACAAGCTCCGCAGTCGAAACGTGCGCTTGAATAAATTAGTATGTCGAATTTCGAGCGAAACGATCGCTAACGATTCGTCCCCATCATCGTTATTCGCCACGGTTAATAATATTTTTCCAGCATCGTAAACGGTTACGTTACCGAGTTGAACAAATTAAGTGTAATTTCTGATATATCGCCAAGCATCGACGTAAAAATCGTTACTGCCGCATAAATTATGCTCGCTGCGAGGGGAAACGTCCGTTGGATCAATTTCCATGGCATTAAATCATCGTTAAAATTTCATTGAATTTCCCGACGAAACATTACGGACTTATTACGCGCTTTTCCCTCCCTCATTTTATTATCCGAGTGTAAACCGGAATATGTACTCCGTTTTTTACGTTCCCCTGGTACATTCATTCTAGCTCTACGTTCGTTTCATCGGTGACCAACTTTCATCGTGCACCGTTACCGGGGGAGTTATAATAACGCGGAGACAATAAACCATGTTTATTACTACCCTTATTACGACGCACGCACTGGGGAAAGTACGACGCACAATGGGCTCCAACAGCATGGAAATATGGTTGTTGCCAGGGTGTAGTGCGCGATTCGTTCTCCAAGGAAACGAATCGTTTCTCCAACGAAACTTCCCTTAACTAGATTTAGACGTTAAAAAGGCAGACACTTCCATTGGGCGTTAAACGCAGGGTTGCGAAAAATGTTAGAAGGATGTAGAGTGTGTTGTATGTTTTACAATAGAATGCAGTCCTTCGGGTTGTCACAGTGTTATCTCTATAATTGTTCATTATACTGTTGCGCCGGGGGTTGGTGGCACATCGAGGAGTATTTTAAATAATCAACACGTCTTTATAAAAGGAACAAGAATTCAAAACGGTTATTAACTATAACAATAACTCAAAGTAAACACGTCTGTTCGATAGCAAGTCTAGCGACGTTCTCCCATTCAAAAGTTGCCGGTTCTCTTGGTAACCGGAACATCCCGATGATCCGCTTCCGCTCGCTCTTCAGAACGCACTAGACATCGTCGCAGCATCTTCATGCCGCCGCAACAATACATATCTCATCTTTGATTATAGGAAATTTTAAAAAATTTCCTTTTCTTGACCATCGAGTAGTCACAGCTCAATCACAATTAAATCCTAAGTACATTATTGTTCAAAAAATTTTACAGGGTTATTATCTTGGATGTTTTCCAGTAGAGTGATACCGACGTCACGGTTCAGTCGCTATTAAATCTCCCTTCCTATAGAGTTCTACTTAATATTCGTGTAATTTAACAAAACCACCAAGCCTTGAAATCCTATTAAAGGCATCTTCCCACCGACCTTTTTATTTACCAAAGTAGAAACGTGCCCTGGCGTTCCAGCACCCCTTCTCTGTAAAAGGGGTACCACCTCGAAGTCATCCGGCAGAACAGGAAACGAGGTTGCGTTCGTCGCTCGGATAACTGGTATCGTGACCCTATTAAACGCGGTTGCAAAGACCACGAACTTCAGAATGACTATTCGGACTGTTCGTGCTATCGGGAACGAGCAGGTTGCTTGGCGTGCGGCCAGAACGCCAACCTTGCACGCTAGATTACACCGATTAACCGCATTTTGCCTTCGCTAGTCGTACGCGACACCGCGTACAATTGACCAAATTGCTCCAAATGCATAGTTAAACTCCAGATAGTTACAGGTCCATCCCTCGCGATCCTATGATTAGGTTACTACGATTCGGACCAAAAATTTTCGTAATCAATTTGTGCACTTCTTTAGCGATCAACGCAATCACAAATTCTGTCGACAAAGTATCACAATTGGCCGTCGAACGTCGAAGCGAACCGTAATTGGCCAGCTTGGAGAAATTCGGTAAGCTCGGAGCGATTAAATCGAACGTGTTTTCCGTGGCACGTTTTTAACGAGAGAATGCGCCCCGTGAACCTTCTCGTCAAGTTTAAACGTTAGTAATTGCTGGTTGTTTGTCGATAAATCCAATCCTGTCGGCGGTTTAATCGGTCGTCGCGTGACCTCCGCAGCGTCGCTCGAAAACGCTGCGTCACGACGCCTCCCCCTCGGTAATGACCAGAGCGACAAACGACGTTTTTCCATTATTTCCCCGTTCGTTGTTGCAGTGGGACGTCCCACGGGCAAACTGGAACATTTCTCGAGGGGGCCAAAAGCTTCGTTTGTACATTAAAATGATAATTTCGAAAGGAAGCATATTTACTAAACGCATAATAATTACTTATACTGGAAGGAAGAAATTATATGAGGGATTATATTGTCGCGCCGGGGGGGTTGAAGCACGAGAATTCATTTTAATTAAATATAAAGTTTATTAACAAACTATAACTTTTAAACAATATAACGATAATATAACGATAATCTTGGAGACTTGTAACGAAACGTCTTCTCTCTTTGAGTTCTCGAATCGCTGTCCTCTATTTTAAAAGTTTGCCGCTTCTTGGCGACCGGAACATCTTCATCTTCATCGTCGCAACATCTTCACACCGTCGCGACGATGTAACTCGGAACTGTAGTGCGGCATCTTCATACCGTCGCAACAATATGATTTACCTAACTCATTGTCAGACCTAACACTGAAGTACAGCGATCCAATAGAAAATTAAATTTCTGTTTCGGTAGTAACGCTTGAAATTGATATCGAAGAAACGAAATTTCCATGAGGAATTGTCCAAGTCTGTATTGAAACGTTTACCCCGTCCTTCCTGGCCACTGGCAGCCGTTACTCGTTCCCTTCGATGGAACGAAAACTACGTCCAAGCTGGCTGCAACAGGCTACCCAATCCATAAATGCAATAGTCCGTGTGCCCATTCTTTTCCTCGCGTCAAACGCACTCGCGACCCTTTGCCTGTGACACGCGACGTCAGTTTTTGAACGTGTCAAAATCCAGAACAAGTCTGAAAAACTTTTACAATTAAATACGTAAGCAGTAAAAGGGAAATAAAATTTATGAATATACATATAAATCATTACAGCGGCGTGCAGTATTTACGACGAGTAAATATTTATCTTAATGAATTTTCGACTACTTGGATCGAATCATTTTTAGCATCAATATGTAACAAACAATATCTGCGTTACTTTTACAGGAAAGTTATTCATAGTTTAAAATTATTAATAGCAACACCAAAACATCATAATACAATTTTCCTCGACAGCAATTCCAATAAAACTATACATAAATTCTTACTATACTATACTATTACTATACTAATACTTTAATAATTCTTCAAGTAAGGATCTCGAAACGTAAATAAGACAGGTAATTATTCCACACAGTGATTCCACGCAGACCCACAAAAAAGGTACTTGTCAACATCGCATCTGATGCGAAAGCGAGCTAATTCGACTTGTTCAGCGAATCTATTTAAAGTGCCGACTCCTACGCAAAAACAACGCAACTCGTGGAATTATATTTTCACTCTCAGGGAAGCGTTCTGTCAAACTCTGGTATAATTTCGAGGCCGAGTGCGTTTGTTTCCAGAAGGAACACTGCCTCGAATGTCGATTACCCGCATTTGTTTCCTCCGTTCTCATTCTGTTAACAAGTCCGCAGGGCTCTTCGGCGTATTGTCGCCTCCGCAACAGGCTCCTCAATCACGTTGTTTCAAGCGGTTCTTTCGGTCCTCACCGCCTACAAAAGCGATTTAAAAGATTTAATCCGCGGGAAAATTAGGTTAAATGGAAAACATATAACAATTCGCGCCCTCAATGTTCTGGACAAATGTTACATTTTGGTATCAGGAGAACATAATATGCGAAGAGGTGACACGAGAAATACCAGGTACGTATCGAAATTCTGAGGAAATTTTACATTTTGGTATCAAGGAGCACATGATATACGAGGAGGTGGAACGTAGGGATTCCGGTACGTATCAACTAACAAATTTTAACAGCATCGTGGAAATTTTCTCTTTAATTTCCCTTCATTTCCTTATACATTTCCCTCTAATTTCCCTCCATTTCCTGGTTTAACAATGGTCCAAATCGCTCCGCTCAAAATTATGATGAGAAATTTCTAATAAGTCTAATGGGTCTGATGGGTTGCCTAATTCAAAGGGCACATTTTCGGTACGTGTGGAAATTTGCATTTGGTATCAGGAGAACATGATATGCGAGGAGGTGGCACGAGGA